CAGTTCAATCAACACCATCTTCATCAGGAAGAATCAGAAAGTCAATGAATAAATCTGAGCTTCTAGCTATTCAGCGAAGTCCAACTCATAGTTATAGAGACTCCTCATTAGAATCTTCACCAGTAGAGGCATCAGTGGACATAAACTGGCCTACTCTTGATAGTTCAAATGAACTTGACGCATTATTATTGACATTAATCTATAATATTTAACACAAATATAAAAATAATTACAGTCTCCCAATTTTATAACGTAATGAGTGCAAGAATAATTTCCACAAGATAATAGACCTAATAGAACACAACAAACATCAATCTCCATTGAAACTGGACAAATCGGTATCCACAGAAAATTTGAACAGACGTCGATCAGACATTACAAAAGAAATTGTGGAGTCAACTCTAACGACGCATTTACAAAGTATTCAAGAACAAATAAAAGTCATTTCTAATCACATCAAGGAAACAAGAAATCAGACACTAACTTATAGCGATGTCTTAAAAAAACCAGCCCCACCAACTCCTTTAGTCATTCTAGCCTCAACGGATTGCAGTACAAGGGATATTCTCAAGAAAATTGAAACAACAATCATTCAACAGTCAATTAAGAAAGTCTTTGTAAATGACAAAATTGTGGAAATAAAATTTCACAATGACAAACAAAAGAAGAATATATAAAGAAGACAAGTATAGAGAACGCTGGCATTTCCTATAAAGAAAAGCTTAAACGGCAAATATCCCTGATTCTTCTGAATGCTCCGACATCCTACAGTGATGAAGACGCAGTAGAAATTCTTAAGCCCAACTGTGATTTCAAGGAAGACACAGACAATGTAACAATCACCAAGTCAATTCCACACAAAAATGACATTAATAAAATAAATGTTTTAATAAGAGCCAACTTCCAATTGGCAATTCAATTGCTAAAAATTTTGATAGGTTTTCAGAAATGCATAATTAAAAAAAGAATATTACTGTTAAGGTGTAGACATTGCCGAATTTTCCGTCACCACCAAAACAACTGTAAGAACATTAAGGATCGCAACATGACTTTTCTCAATGCACCAGCTCAACCTCAACGTGCATAAACTGTTTATATTCCGATGAAAAATATACATCGAACTTCAACGTACATCATAAAGCATCCAGTCCAGATTGTCCAACGTACCAGTATGAATTAAACGAGTTGAGGCGTTTATCTCAAATAAATCAACAAAGGAAACTGTATTACAAAAAACAGGACAAGCCTACAACAAACTTTTTAACCTTCGAAAACCAGGCAAACGTTTGGAAATATACTTTATAATTAAAAACAGATTTCTAACACATTTACCCTTGTTTCAAGTACTCTATTTTTTTATTATTAGATAGTTCTAACATTTTTTTTCTTTTCTTTCTTTATTATTTTATTTTATTCATTTTTTTCTTTTACATTCCATATTTTTTCTTTCTTTTCATTTCTTACTGTTTCTCATTTTAATCATTATTTAAACTTTTAAGGCAATTTTCGTTCTTACTTAAATTTTAGTTTCTAAGCGTTTCAATTTAATTTAATTTCATTTAGATCAATGTCCTCGAAAACCTTATATCGATAATTTTAAGAAAATGTGATTGAGTATGAAGTTTTAGCCTTTTTTTTCCTTCTGAAATACGACCACTGTGCAGTTCTTTGTCTTTTAACTATCAGGATTGTCATCAGTGCAGCCCCACCGCCTGGAGTGGACATTAAAATCTTCAATCAAAATTTTTGATTGAAGATTTTATGATAGAGATTTTATGAGCAAAATTTTTGTTTGTTGATTTTATGATAGAAGAATGTATAAAGAATTGATTCTGAAAAAATGACCCTACTTTCATATTTAAAATTTAACAGTTCTACACTTATCATCAATATTGTCCATTTGCTTAAAGTTGCAAGATTGAGATAAGAGATTATTTTTTGTGTTTGTTGAAATTCACAGGTGATTTGTCCAAACTTAGTCAATAAATATAATTGCTAACTAAAGAATGGGACGAGTTTTCACCTGTAAATTTGATTCCTGTCATGGGAAAATGTAAACCAAATGTTTCCTTAAAGATTGCAGTAAATCAAGCCTTTTTAGCCAGACGAAGTCAGTTGAATTTCAATACAAAATAAGGTGATTAAAAATCTCAGAAGGGGAGGAGCACTGATAAATTGCGGTTATAGATCTCTTAGCCGTCGAAACGTTTCCGGGGTACACCACGAGGAGGTGGATCTATAATCGTACCCCTTGTTTTTTTTTGTTTTTTTGTTTATTGTTAAATTATTTTGCTACTGTTATTTATTGCTAAATTTTCAATAATTTCTGTAAAACAAGAATTTTTTTTTTACTTTTACTTTCGTTTACAGAATGAAGCTATTTTTTATTGTAATACCAGTTTTCTAATAATTTAAGTTCTCACAATTCTTTTTTTTTTTTTATTTTTTATTTTTTGCATAAATATTTATTTAAGTATTGCTCTCTGTGGCATGAAAAAATAGCTTATTTTTGTTTTTAAGTGCAAAATAGTTTTTTCTTTTCTTCTCTCTCTGTAAAACAGTTCTTTCCTTCTTCATTCAAGCTGTTCTTTAGCATCCTTTCAGCAAAATCATATCTATCAAATTATGAAATTGCTTTCATTGACATAATTGTTTTTTGAGTTCAGAACTGCCTTTTTCCGCATTACATTCTTTCTCTTTGTCATTTAAATATCCATGCCATCTCTTCAGTGTTTTTTTTTTTTTTTTTTTTTTTTTTTTTTTTTTTTTTTTTACATAATACTTCAACTCATTCAAATCTATTTCTTACTGCAGCAAGAGCAAAATAGGTTTTTTAAAGATGACCAAAACCCTTTCTTTTTTCTTTTGTTATCTGCAATGCAGTCTCCTCTTTCCCCATTCAAGTTGGTCTCACACTCTTCAATATCCTCTCTATAAGAATAAATAATTTCTTATAATTGAAGTAATATCTGTACCAAGTTATTTTGTTAAACAACTAAATCATATGAGAATACAAATAATGTTATTTTTGAAATAAACAAATTTTGTGTCCAAAAGTGAACAACGAAAAGTTTCTTTCTATTAAAATAAGCCTTTATAATTATAATATAAAAAAAATGCTAGTGAATTTAAAAATATTAGATTTATTGCTATTTTTATGTAATAGCTGAGTATACTACTATTAAAGTAAGATTCTTCATAAATGAATTTTATGATAAGGAAATAAAATATAGGAATGCTCTAAACTCAAACAGGGAATAGTTTTGCCAATTTATATTAAAAATAGTAGATTTTTTATTAGGTCGTGTAAACCCATTCTAATTTTAAACTTTAATTAAGTAAGAGAGTGTTTCAAAATTCATAATAAATGTTAAATTTAATTTAAATAAATTTAAACTTTTTTAAAAAATAAGAAGAAACTTACTGTTGGTTCCAAATATTTGCTATCAACTTATGGAACTTAAATGTTCATTGTTTTATATTGTTTTAGCATTTTCTTGCAAAAAAAAGATAAAAAATTAGAATTACTAAGATAACTCCAATTAAATACAGATTACCATACCTTTTGCTTTGAAAATCCTCATTACTATGTTTCTCATCAGAAACATTTTGAACAATGCTAGGTTCCCCAGAACCTCCAACATCATATATCACTCTATAATTATATACAAACATAACAGATTTTAATATAATTTTCAATGCATAAATTTTAGAAATATAATAAATCTCTATCATTATTTTCAAATAATAATGTGCTTAGTTATTTTAAAACCAAAGAGTTGACTTTAAACATATTCAGAAATTCAAAAATTAGTTTTTTTTTCATGGAATAATATTTTGGTTTTAATATACCTGTTGGTAAAGTTTCAATATGTGTATGAATAATTAATACAAGTATATAAGTTTAGTTTTAATAAATCTTTAAAATTGAATCTATTAAATATTTCAACCTGAAGTTCTGAAGTAAAACTATGTAAATACTCTAGCAATGCCCAATTTTTTTGTACTAAGAATAGTGTTAGTGTTAGTTTTTGTCCAGGAATCTAAAATGTTTTGATGTTTTCTGTTACACCTTCCTCATTAGAAAATTGGTTGGATTTCAACAGCCTTTTGTATTTCTTCTTTGCTAAAATTCATAATCCCTATTGAGTATACTCTTTCAATCTACTCTATGAATATGGATTTAAAAATTGTATACTAAGAGCCATCATTACAGAACACCATGTGAGTTAATTGGTAATAGTGTAGTCTTTGAAAACCTTCAAAAAACCATTCCTTATTTATCAAATTTTTCTGCATAAATTTTCTTTTGCCTTTTATCATAGCTTCTTTTTCTATTTATCGATATGAAAAAAACAGAGTGGGATGAAATGTACAAAACAGTTTATGAGAAGGAAAGGCAACAGAACGAAATTCAGATACAATTTAATTTTTATTTTAGTTTCTGCTAAGTGTGAATTGAAAATATTGGTATTGAAGATACTCTTGAAAACTACAAAACTTAACATATTACTTAGATTTAAGAAACTGAAATTAACAGAGTTACCGGGTTTTTATTAAGAATCTATCGAAATAAAATACATTTAAGGCCATTACTGAAGAAATTTATTATTCTTGGATATTTTTATTGTTAAACAGAATTCAAAATTATGTAAATAAAAAATTATAACTTATATGAATGAAAAATAAATTTTATGTTCCAGAAGGGATACACAGTAACTCTCCTATAAAATAGAAAGTATATTATTCAATGATATCATAGTCAATTAGATTTATAATTATTCAAATATAGTAGATTGAAATTCGCGTGATAATTTATTAAATAGTTTTTTTTTCTAAAATATTTGTCTTTCTGAAAATTATAGTATATTTTTTGAGATTTAAATCTTGTAAAGTATTTTAAGTTCAAAAAAAATGAATAAAAATAAATTTAGATGTATCCTTCTGTTGCCCCAAACATAGGTCTCAAAACATTTTTACTTAAATACAAACAAAAAAAATCAATCTGAATACAAATTAGCATACCTAATATTTTCACAATTCTCCAGAGTCAGATTTTGAGCCACAAAATGCCCAATACATTCAGATTTAACATAGAATCCGTATTCGTCACTTTTCACAAATTGGTCACCACTAAAATTATAAAAAGTCATTTTTCACGTATCAGCATGATTTATAATATAAGGAATATAATTTCAATATTTAACTAGATAAAGAATAGGGATATGTATTTTATATGAATTTTAACAGTACTTAGCATTCTAACCTCTTTAATGTTTTTTTTCCATAGGTATATAAATTTGTAAGTACTATAAAAATTTTATCTTTTTAATTCATAAAATAAATTTAGTGTTAATTTATAAGAAATCATTGACTATAATCGTTGTTATTTTAAGATTTATTTAAAGTAGAGTTATTTAAAACATTTGAGAAAGTTTTAACGTTTAAAAATAATGCTGTTGCGATTATTATGATATATTTAAAAAAGTCAAAATGTTAAACATTTATTTTGAAAAATAAATTATTTTTAAGGAGATTTATGTAATTCTAACAGACAAGTAATATTATGACAGAAATTTAAAAATTCTAAGTATACTTAATTTAAATATAAATTTGCGTACCCAATATTTCCATCATTCTCATAAGCTGGATTTAAACCAACATCATTTTCATCAACATCAGACTCAAAATTAAATCCGTATTCATCATTTTTGCCAACTAGGACAACACTAAAATTATAATAGGTCATTATTTACTATTTTGGCACGATTTATAATAATATATATCTATTTTAAAATTTCTTACTTTTTCAAAAAACAATACTTTGTATTTTTATTAAAAATGTATAAAAGTTTATTAACATTTATTTAAGCATACAATGTTGAAGAAAGCATCTTTTTTGTAATACACTGCAGAATTTTATGCTTGAAGCACTGCTTTATTCAAAAACTGGGGAAAAAACGTTCATAATCATGTGTAGAATTGTGTCCAATGATAGGTGTTTTATATATATATATATATATATTTTTATGTGTGTGTATATATATATGTATGTGTATATATATATATATAT